CGGTTAAATTTATTAATAGAATTTATACGTGCTATAGTATATGCAAGTTAGAAAAGGTTCTACCCGAATTATGCATCTTGTGTACCCGATGTGATCAATGATCGGCAGTGATCAGCATAACCTCCATACGTGCACAGAAATCATACAAATTGGCCCATATGTTATAGTAACTTAAACAAAAATACTGCGAAATTGTAAATCAGGATTATTTCGTTTATAACTGAACAAAAAAAGCTTTTTTCATAATAAAATTTATTTCAGCTTATTAATCATGTTCAAAGTTTCCCACGTGATAACTCTGATACTAATAATCTCGCATTAAATGTATTTAGGATCAAGTGAAAATGGTTATTACAATATACAATATGATATCAAATGGCTGTGGAGCGTTGCCTAATCACGGAAAAACGATTAAATGGTTGCAAAAGACGAAAAGCAAATTTTCAAAAGGAAAAAATTAATGATTTTAAAAAATTATTATTTGGCAATACCGTAAATATGAGTATACAAGATCCCTAAAATACGCGAATTATGGGATCTTTATTAAAATTAAATGAGTTTTTTTTCAAATAGTTAGGCTATTTATCATAAGTATCATTGCGCAGAAATTTTTTTATTTAAATAGATTTTTAGCCTTACAAATCAGCGTAGCATTAAGTGATACGAAAATTACGTTTTTGATGCATCTACATAGACATTATGAAGACCATATCAGGAACGTAATTTGAAAACTTTTGTCTGTCCGCACGCGTAAATTTTTAAATTCTAGGGAATTTATATCTAAAATTATCAATTTTAACTAAAATTTTCTAAAAATTTCCATATTATTATAGTTGTGATACGTAGGAATGGGATGCTGCGCAGGTGGAATATTTCGGAATTCACAATTCTGGCCTGCATTAGCAGTAAACTACTATAATGTGGGCCGCAATAGATTCAAAAAAATATTTGATTTGCTTATCCGTATTTTACTTTAATCTAATACATATAGTATATGGCTATTTTGTATTTTATTTGACTTAGTGCGATTTGATTCCTAATTTTATATTTAATAATATTCAAAACAACCCGGGTATTGTTACTACACGTGGCTCTTGATATAACGGAGGCCATGGTTCCAGTCCTTTGCTCCATTATATCAAAAGATCCATATATCAAAATCTCATGATACAGTATATATATTATAGTAAATCATAATTTGGTTCCATTATAATTCTCCGTATTAAGCAATATCCGTTATATCGAGAGCCACGTGTATCTCTATTATTCTATTTCTTGAATAAAACTCAGAGTATAACTATATTAATTTGCTACTTTCAATATAATATTTTCACAAATATACTGTAGTACTTGGTTTTCCACATAGTAAAGTACTATTATATTCAATTTTAAAAATAAGGTTCTTGATTCCTTTATCAGAAGCAGTGCAGATTAGATCAAGACCTCCTAACGATAATATATTGCTGCGTCGTAATAAAGCAAGGAAATGATTTGCAGTGACAATGACAAGTCGTGTGATTGATGAGACAATCATTTGACTACGTAAGATTAAATTTTCTGCCGCAGTATCCTAAAAAGATATATATGAAATAGTTACATACATAAATGGAATAAATGGATTTTTCGGATCTTTTTCATTTTTTAAAAAATATACTTGTACACACTTCCTTTAATTAAAAGAAAAGTATATCTAGTTCAAAAAGAAATGTTGCAGGTAAATAATTTAACAAATCTTTTAATTAAGCCATAATATAATTATTTAAATATTAACCATTAATTCATATTCAAAATTTTAATATAGGAACCCAAGCAGATAAAAGTTCCTTCGATTGCAATCTCCGATCTTTCAAAGTATCATCAATTTAATTGTGATAAACTATTACGGAATACCTTAGATGAAGATTATGAAAGAAGACGATCTACAACCAATAGTGAAAAAAAATTTAGTGAAATAAAGATTAACAATTCAACTTTACGTGATGCCGTGAAAAGTCGAGGTGGTGACTTTGAAGCAAAGGTCGTAGAAGATTTGGAAAAGAGGGTCAAAGTAGTGGATTGCACTTCAGATGATCCTTCTAAAGCGCTTATAACTTTACAAAATGCTAAAGTAGGAGAAGTTCTATATCAATTAAAGTTCGATGTGCCAGATGACTTGTATGATCATTTGAAGATTAAGGATATTGTTAGATTAAAGTCCTTTATCCCTGATTTCATTGAAATTGTTGGTGAAGGTGGTAAAAAACGGTTGTTGATATTGGATGCAAAATCATCAAAAGGAACACGTGTTTCACATCAAGTAAATCTCTTGATATTTTATACTATTTGATATGTTTTTGAATTTTAATTTTTGAGCTACTTAATTTTCTTTTGTTCGGTTTATTCAAGTTTCAAGTTGCTGCGTACACTTATCTTCTAAAACATATTACCAAAGATATACCTGATATTTCTGTTTCTAAATTTGGTGGAATATATTTACCAAAAAAAGGTGGTTTTGAACTCCAAACTTTTCGTACCGAACTCTTACTTTCAAAAGTTGAAAAATTTTTAAGCACTGATCTTCGAGATATAGCTTCTGCTTCGGAAGTATCTTGGCACTATAACTCTCGATGTAAAACTTGTGCATTTGTGGATGATTGTCGAGTGGATGCAAAAGGTTCAATGTCTATGATTCCATATTTATCTACGGACAATGCGAATGACTTAAGATTATTTGTTAAGAATACATGGAATAAAGAAAAAAGATATAAAAAAGATGCTGAAATTGAAAATTTGGCAAAACTTTTTACCATTGATGATAATGAATTAAATGATCACGTTAATAAACTTGTGACAATGACTCCAAATGATTATTTGACTAATCCAAAAATAGTACCATTGATTAAACATGATAAGGTTAATGAAACAGACATTGAAGACTTGGCCAATAACTTTAGTAAACTTAGTGTAAAAATTGAAGATTTGGCTGATTGTATTGATAAACTTAGTATTGATGATGATGAGAAAGTAATGGTAAATGAGGTTACGGCAACTCGAAGAATAAAACAAATTATTAAGTATGACAAAGATCGCAAAAAATCTCCATATATTGAAGCGTTTAAAACAGAAAAAGCTCAGGTAACAAATATATAATTACTTTTGATTAATCACTCAAAGTAGAAATATATGGTTTAATTCATATCTTTATAGTTTATTGGTACTCCAACGGCAAATTTTCCTCAACGAACCGATCACAACCTTGTACTTACAATGTCCATAGATCCTTTTGTCTTACTTCCTTTCGGTTGGTCTATGAGTCTTTATGCTAAAGATGGGCAAGTCATGAAAAAGTTTCAATTCGCTGAGTCAGTTCCCAAATATAAAGATGAAAATCAATCAGCATTTGTTTCATTGATGGATAAATTTGTGACTCGTTTGACTAAAATATTTGAATATCTCTCCAACAAAAAATCTCGAGCTTGTATATTTGTTTATTCTGAGCAAGAAAAGTTCATAATTCAAGAATCATTGCTTAAAATAATTCGTCTTGATGACATTTCGGAAGCAATTCAACATATGACAACGCGATGTCTCTACAACTTATTTGAAGACTGTTCTCTCTTATTGGCTGTTGGAAGTGATGTTGAAAATAGCTCAGAGATTCCTGGCGAGTGGAGAGAGTTCCCAAGACTTGTTATTCTAGAACAATCTTTGAGTGAAAATGTTGCAATTTGCGTTCCGGGTTTTTACAGGTTTATTGATATTTGGGAACAAATGGTTAAGCCTACTTTGGAAGATAACAAAGAGTTGTTGACCACTTTGGAACCAGAAATCTCCAAAATTGATCTAGAAGATATCTATGCAACATGGATATCCGAAAATGGGAACGAGAATGAAATTAACAAATATCATTTATTAAGAGCTGTATTCGTTAATGTTGTCATTCAAGCATTTTATGCTCTCGTTAAGAAGTCAACAGATGATATCTCTTCCAAGTTATTATTTTCTCCACCCGCATTTGTTTTTTCTGAAATTCGATCCTTCATTAATAATTATTTAGGAAAGTTATATTTTTTTAAACAATTTGAAGGAGCCATGACATATTATCGAACTAAAGCAGTTAGACAGAAAGATTTAGTTCTAGGAGAAACTAAATGTGGACTTCGTGTAAAAGCTGATCGTTTTTTAAAAAAAGATGAAAAGTCTGTATGGATACTTCAGTGTATTGTTTTAAACTGTGAAAACGAATTTCATGTACTTGAACCATCAAGCATGAAAGAATTCATCTTAGTTGAGGATACTGCAGAGGTATGTTAATATCGCATTGATGATTATAACATTGGAGAAGGTCTTTGAAATGATTAAATGATTATTTTATTTACAATTTATAAACCTCAAAGGGAATTCTTGAGGCTATCCGTTTCTCTGATATGGAATATAAAGATAAACAATTTGGGTACCCACTAAATGTTCTCTCACTTGTATCGATTGATGATACCGACCCTGCACACCGAGTGATCCAATTAAAGGGGACAATTAAAAAAAGTATAAGTGTAGGCACAACATATCGTCTATATAAAAGATTTGTCGATTTCAATACAGATAAGATTTTGAAAATGCTCATAGAAATTGATGAACAACCAAGTTCTATATTCCTAGTAAGTGAAAAAATTTTTCCTATTAAGTAAAAGAGTTTAAGTATTTATGAGATTAAAAATTCCAGGACCTCTTAAGCGATCCTAATGCATGGGGATCTTCTCTATCTGAAGAACATACTTATCCCAAGGAATTAAAAGATACTGCTTTGGAATTGCGTGATTCATTCTCTATGTCTCCATCGCAAAAAGAAATAGCAGCAGTGATATTGGAGAAAAGGATGCAAATTGTTTGGGGTCCACCAGTAAGTATCTATCTATATTTGAGAACAGTATCTATATTGGATTATGTTTAATACTGAATATATCTATTCACAATTAAGGGATCTGGAAAAACGCATTTCCTCGCGTTATTTGTTACATGGTATCTATCCACATTAAAACCTAAGCCTACAGAAAACAATAAAAATTTTATGATTGGAGTTACTGCGTTCACCAGATCTGCAATTGATAATCTGTTGGAGCGTATTGCTACTGTGCAAAAAGAAGGAAATAAAATAGACGATTTTACAATAGTTCGAATGGTTAAAGAGTCTAATAACTCTATTGATAACATAAATGATTGTAAGGCTGAGAACCTACCTAAGAAAATCTTGGGTGCTAAGCTTGGTACACCTGGTAAACCTCTCGTCGTAGGAGGTACAGTGTGGGATTGGTATAAAATTCGCAAAGAATTTAATGGAAGTTGGACGGGTTGTAATATTATGATTATTGACGAAGGATCGCAGGTAACGTGAAATTTAAAATAGAATTTATTCTTGTCATTTAATTATATAATTAAAGCATAAATTCATTGCATTCATTATCTCGACTATGTGTAAATATCACTTTAAAAGCTTTTGGTCTCAGATGCCAGTATCGCGCTAGAATGTTTGAACCAAAATAGTGGAAAGTTAATTATTGCTGGCGACCATATGGTAAATAGTAATTGTTTATATTATTTTTGAAAAAATTTTTTTCTAGTTAACATTAATATTAAATGAATTTATTATTTGCAGCAACTTGGACCTATCATTCAGAACACGTATCCCATTTATGGAGATAATCATCCACTCATTTTTGGGTCTATTCAACAATGTTTAATGAGAAAGGAAGACGGTTCTATATTTAATGAGAATCCCTTCCTTGAAAAAGGACAAAAACATGATTTTGGTCCGTGCACACTTCAACTTAGAGATAATTGGAGAATGGTGAGCACATCTTTCTTTGTATTTTGTTATGTAGTTAGATTAGATTTGTGCTAAATTTTTATTGATTTTTATTTTGTAGAATGGTGAATTAAATAATTTCTTCCAAAAAATATATGGCGAAGATTACATTTCAAAACAACCTGATTTGAAATTAAATTTCGAAGATGACAAATTACTACACATAGATAATCCAGATATAAGAAAAATTTTATCTCCAGAAACAGCAATAGCTTTAGTAAAATTATCATTAAAAAATAACGATCAAGGTAGTTCGCAACCTAATATATCAGGATTACTTTCGGAAAAAGTTTTGCATGCCGAAGCAGATGTTGTAGCCAAAATAGTGACAGCATATTTTGATTCACCTCGTAAACCCGACCCACAGCATCGTAAACCGTCATTATTTATTGTTACACCGCATCATCGACAACGGCAAGCCGTTCAGTCACGACTTAATAATTATCTATCTAGTCCTAAATATAATTTAAAAATAAACACAGTCGAAAAAATGCAAGGACAAGAAGCAGACCTTGTTATTGCATGTTTTGTATTTTTAGACCAAAATGAAATTGTTCGAGAATCAGATTTCCTATTTGATCGCAATCGTTGGAATGTGGCTATAAGTCGAGCAAGGTATATACACTTATGGTTAATAAGCAATAGGTTTAGTGCGATCATACTCCTTAAACTAACAAATAATTAATTATATTGTACTCTTTTAATATATTTTTATAGATGCAAAATTGTATTGTTAACTACTCATGAAATGTTATATCCAAAAAGTTTGTATATAGTTTTATATAATTACATATTTTTGATTTACAAACCTTTTTATTCATATATATTATTTTAATTTGAATTATTTGAAGGTATGGACATATTCTTTCAAAAGAAATCGTCAGAAGGATGGGTATACCTTTCGATGATAGAAACATGGGTTAAAAAAAGATATGGAGGAAAAAATAAAAGAAAAGATAAAAAGAATTTGGGAATAATCGAATGGAAGATTGATGGAAATCAAACAGAAAGCAAGTAAAAATTTGAACCCTAATTTAAATGAACATTTATATTTTGGTTTTTTTTTGATCAGAGGCGATGTTTGTACGTCTTTACAGTTGTAGTTACTGTTATGAATCATACGTATGTGTATGTGCTGTTCATACTGTAAAAGTACATCTTGCTAATGATGTTAGGTGTAAATATCCAGAATAAAAGTTGATATAAATATTAAATTATCTTTTTATATCAATGGATAACGCTTAAAATGTGTTTTTTTTTGAGTGAATCTGTTCGCAATATTATATATATATTATTACGGTTATAACTTGGTTCTTCCATTACGTTAGTAATATGCTTTAAAGACTTGTACAAAAAAGCAGATCTATTCTGATACTTTCGATTGATGGCGATGTCAGAATCATCAATTTTGATTAAAAAATGATCAAACCAGATCAAGAATTCTTGTTTTTACTGTAATAACTGCTAAACGGTTTTGATCCTATTGATTTAAGAGTATTGCTAATCTTAACCGGGGGTAATTTTCCCTGGGGGTGTTTGGAGATGCTATATCTCAAAAATGTACTAAGTAAACGTATCTTAAGCAAAAATGCTCAGGACCCTGGAGAACTAGTTCAAAACCTTACATCAAATATAGATTATATTATATAAAAAGACTCCTATATATCTTAAAGCTGCACCCTAACCCTAAAAATACTAAGGGAAGTAATTTCCCCCCGGTCAAACGTAGTAATTTTTTTGATTTAATAACTGTATTTTCGGTATTATCATTATTGTCCGAAGCGAAGAAAAGGACACTACGGACCAGGACGATGATTTTCTGCGGTGTTAAAACTAAATTCTGTGATAAACGTTTTACAATTTTACCAATTTCTGTGAAATCCTGTGATAGTTTCTGCGATTTAAAATCACGACAAAATATTATTAAAGTCAATAAACATCTTATAAACGGTATTTTCAATAAATAATAAACTTGTTGCAATAATATTCAATTATATAAAAAACATTTTAATTTGTTTATTTATTATTATATACTTGTAATTAAAATGTACATAAATACAATTTTATTTTTGTTACATATTTTTTTTTATTCGTTAGGATATTAGTTTCAGCTAAAAAATAGCTTACTTGTCCTAGCCACCACGTAGAGGTATATCC